TTTTTTAAGAAAATTCGGAAAACCGGCGTTAAAGTAGAGTGTGGTACGGACATAGAAAATGTGGAAAAGCTGCCTGCAGCTCCCCAATGGAAAGGATAACAATGGTCACCATCAACCCAAGACAATGGAAAATCTACTTCCGACTTTGCTACCGAATCCTCATCCTCATATGACCTCTACCTTAAATGTCGATTGCACCTTACTCCTGGCTCTAGTGTCCGATCTATCACATTTCCATAATCTTGATCCATCATCAGGCCATCATCCGGCAATTATCCGCCAAATTGAGCTCGAAACGAAACAGCCATTAGTTACCTCTGAACTTTGGCCAGCAATGAGTGATAGGCAGCTTATATGCACTGAAGAAGCCGCCAAGAGGATGTACGAAATAGTCGAGACAATTGGTACTGTGAGTGAGAAGCGAAGGACGAAATTAATGATGGCGGGCGACGACTCCGACCTAAACATTGATAGAGAGGATTTGATATCCCAGTTTCAGGATACATCGGACCACAAAGTTCCGTTAAATTGGAACATCCCTATTATAGTAGTAAATGCGCAAGCAGAAATTGAACGGGGTTGGGCCAACGGTGTCCTGCCGACGGCCGCCCGCAAAGTTGCAAGCCAGTTAAGCGACATTAACACAAGCGTGTTCTTGTATGGCTGGGCAGCTGGTCTCATGACGATTTCCAGTAATCGGACTGTAGCTAAACAGATCGAAGTCCTCGTCGAAGAAAACAGAAATGGGGATGACGAATTGTCAGGCCCCTTGGTGTGGATATGCGATACAGCCAGAAGTTTGGTTGGCAAGGACAGCAATAGGAAGTCCTGAATAACTGGCTCCAAAAATACAAAGCAATCATGCCTCTCACGATACAATTAGTGCCATTTTCTTCGGTAGATATGGCCAGGACGATACTTGTATTACCCATACGGCGAATATACCACGAAAAAAAGGCTTTGGAAATGCCCCTGCGGAATCAGATAGTCCTTAGTAGACGAACTTGTTAAAAAGACCTTTCATTTTTCGGCGGGTTTAGCGTTATCATCTGGGAGCCAGAACGTGATCTCTTTGTCTGCTGTTGCAAACATGTTATACCGCGGATTGGCCTGTACAATCACAGAGCGGGCACGGTATGGCAGCCGGAAGGTCGGTTTAAGGTATAAGCTAGAGTCCGGCGGATGTTGAGTATCCCAGACAAGAGTATCAGGTTGGTCGCCAGCACTGCCAAGCACGTAACGTCCATCTGGAGTAAAACAGACATCCCCTTGACCCAGTGGTTTCCCAGAACTCGAGGTCGGTGCAGCGCGACCGGTAGGGCCGCTTTTACCAATTAAAAACGCCTTAACATTACCCTCGAAAGCATCCAATAGGAAATGTCCGTGGTAGTCTGTTCCAACAAGAAGATGTTTGCCATCATTAGAAAATTCCAAGCGCGTCCACGCTCTGCCCCTTGTCGACGGGGTGAAGCGGTCTTCCTGGGCGGCAAGGTCAAACGTTGCGAAAGGAGGTTTATCGTAGTTTCTAAAATCGTAGAGTAGTACAGATGAGGTGGACTGGGAGGCAATTGCTATGACCGAGCCCGACGGATCAAATGCAACTAAATAAGGGGTAGCTAGTTTAAGTTTCCCTTGCGCGTTCCTCGAGTTGAGATCCCACAACGCAACAGTATCATCTTTGGAACAGGACAAAACCGCGTCAGTTCCTGGAGAAACTGCAATTGACGTAACCTTGTCCGTATGGCCGGAGAAGTATCGCAGATAACTCTCGTTGTGCAAGTCTAAAAGCCGTAGCGAGTCTGTCGCGTAAGCCCTGATTAGAAAGGGATTTCTAAGTTACTTGGGCAACTGGAAAAACTTACCATCCACCTTCGTGCTGGCGTGGAGAATCTGGCGGGAATGGTGGGTGAACTTTGCCAGATGCACTCCATACTTTTTGCTGGGAACTGTCTTCGTCAATTTCCCTTCCTTTATATCAAATACCTGTAGTGTCTCGTCGTCTCCGGATGCTACCAGGTAGTCTCCTTGGTCGTCGAAATCCAAAGAGGTAATATTTCCAGGGAAACCATCCTGTTTGGGGGTTCCTCTGAACGACTGGATGAAAATGTCAGTCCGCAAACAAGACCACAATTAGCTAACAGCACTGCAATTACTCACCTTTGAAGCCCTATAATTTTTGATTATCTCTGATACCTTTGCGGTCGGCTGAGGAGGGAGGGCGCCGGCATCAGCCATAACAATCAAGAACTGTGTAATTGAAATGGAAATTGCCAATCATGAAACGTAGAGCGGGTCGCCGGGAAAGCAGCAATTAGATCATGGCATTGCAGCCCAGTCCCAGTCCACTTCCAACACTGTTCTCGGAGACGTCGTTCGATCTCAACTAAATTCGGCTGCTTTAGTGGCGGGAATATATTGATCCGCCCGCCGAGCTGCGTCCTCCCGAGGGGAAGGTTAAGCCCTACAAGGTGCATCGGGGAGTCGGTGACTTTGCTGCACGCGCAGATGCGATCTTTGCCAGAGGAACAAAGGAACCAGATCTATGCCAAATATGATCGTCTAACTAACCCCGACGGGCCCCTTTACCCCTTCTCGTTCTTCTTCTTCTTCTTGTTCTTTTTCTTCAGCTTCTCATTCTTTCCCTTGCGTTGTGTGCGTTGGTCGTTGGTGTCTTGCGATTCCTTCTGCCTTCCGGTCTATGTTATTTTTCCTTTCCGCATTTGTTTGTGACGTCCTTCCTTGCAATACAAACTAGAAATGTCAACTACTGCAGGGTGAGGATTTCCCACCGTTTTTTTTTTTCCTTTTTGTTTCCAGAAGAAGCATAGAAATCATTCTAACCGGCACTCTCTCTGTTTGCAGGGCATTTATTGCAGGAGGTCTGGCAGCGTGTGGTGCGGTCACGGTTACACACAGCTTCGAAACAGTTAAAATCCGGTATGGTGTCGATCGCGTAATTGTCAGCGGGAACCCACATGCACTAACATCCCCTTGAAGATTACAGCTGCAAGGAGAACTTCAGTCGAAGCGGGAAGCAGTGCGCAAATACAGGGGCGTTTTCCACGGCGTCAAAGTCATTCTCCAAAACGAAGGAGCTCGGGGCCTCTTCCGAGGTATCGGATCAGCAGTGTGTTTCATCTTCCCAGAGCAATGTCTTCGCACCCATTTGCATCTAGTAACATAGTCATACGTTTGGCGACTGTAGTATATCTACCAAGTTCTCCTTAACGGCTGTCGACTTGGGTTTTATGAACCGCTGCGGGTGAACATCACGCAAGCCATTTACAAAGACTCGACTCACCAATCTCTCGGCATAAATGTTCTTTTCAGGGGCTGCATCGGGTGTCTGGGGGCTGCGCGGATCTGCTTTTTTCTAGTAAAAACACGACTCCAATCTTTTTCTCCATTCCTACCTGTGGGCACACAACATAAGTATAGAAACTCATTCGATGGACTACGACAAATTTACATGGGTGAGGGTGTGAAAGGTCTATATCGCGGCGTTTATGCAGCTATGGTCCGTACTGGATTTGGCAGCTCCGTACAGCTTCCTACATATTTCTTCGCAAAAAGACGGTTAATAAAACATCTTGGAATGGAAGATGGCCCTGCATTACATCTGGCAAGTAGCACCTGCAGCGGCTTTGTCGTCTGTTGTGTTATGCATCCTCCTGGTATGACCATTCGAACTCCAATGCTAGCTATCTGAACATTAGCTTTGACTAATTGTTTATCTAGATACCATCATGTCGCGAATGTATAACCAAACCGGAAATCTCTACAAGGGTGTATTCGACTGCCTATACAAGACCATCAGCACAGAAGGAGTTCTTGCAATATACAAAGGGTACTTCGCTCATTTAGCACGTATTCTACCCCATACGGTATGTTCTTAACCCAACCTATTCCTAAAAATTATCTGTAACCAATAATTTAGATTTTAACCCTGAGTTTGGCCGAGCAAACCAATAAACTTTTGCGGAGAGTAGAAGACCGCATTATACCGGATTCGATCAGGGAAAAAATATAGGCGTCCATATACATGTGTACCTGGTGATTTTATACCCATATGCAGCAAATATTAACTGGTTTTTCCTTATCAATTTAAAATATAATTCTCTCGATGGTGCCTCCCACGATTTTATCTCCGACTTTGAACATCGGCTAGGGAACTCTGAAATTTTCCCATTTCGGCGCAACATTCCCCTGTTTGGTTATGTTCAGGCGCCTTGCTATCAAGATTTGAAATTTTAGATTTTGGGACCTTTTTTTTTTTTTTGTGTCCTAGTTTCTTTCTGAGATATCAGTGCTTGCTTCATTGCCTTTAGAGGGTTACCTTGACTCCCGTTGTCATTACATGTGAATCATCTGTTAAATTTCCCTGTTCAGTAGACTAAGGTGTGATCGTTATATTCCATATTATTTCGGGATAAATTCCATTAAATTTGCTCATTATTATCGAAAATACGGTGATCAGAGAAAAAGGCTGACACCATGCTGAGATCCGGTAGCAGCACAGCCCGTACAATGGCTTTCAAATTACAATTCCCTTACGGCAAGTTTTTGAAGTCCGAAAACAGTGAGGTTTTAGGCTTCTTCTCGTCGCGACACCAACAATTTGCTGTTCCTTGCTACACATATATTGCCATAAATCCCGATTCACGTTCCAATGTGCTAGAGAATCATTGCAAGATCAAAAAAGGAGTAAGAATCCACACACACACACACACACACACACACACACACATGGAGAGGACCACAGCGGAGGGAGGAGGGCCTGGGGTAAAAGGAACCACCGTAGTGATGGAGGATGTCGATAAATCCTGGTCATTGGAGATGAATATGCGGGCACTTGGTTCTACAAGGTTCGGGAATCGGATTTCACCACACAATCCGGGGCCCGTGAAGTGGAGTGTTTAGGAAGCGTAGATATTGTCGCTGGTATTCAAAGCGTTATGGGTTTCGTTGAGAGATTCAAGCCTGAAATTCTGAATGCGTCGGCTAAACTTGTCAGCGCATTAGATTTAAGATGGCTGCCCAAGGAAAAGGTGTACGCAGTATGCTCAGGGAGACCTTATCTCCGTGGCACAGTTGATGGACATCTTTGCAAAGAGAATGGAGACGAATCAGCCCTTGTCTTGTCTTATGCAGTCGAGGAGAGCGTGGAAGTCCTTGAAAGACATCGCCCTGGCCAAAGCTATTGGTATAACGACGAGTAATTCGGGCTTTTGCAAATGAGCTCGAGTAGGTCCTTGACGAAAGAATTCGAATTCGGGATGGCAAGATGTAACTTGAGATGCTGGAAATTTTAGATCCCAATGCAACGCACAAATCCTGAAAGTCCCAAATGTTCCTTGGATGGACCTCCTGGGTTCTTATTCCGCAACCCCGCGCAAGAAACTGAAAGGAAACTTGGCATCAAACTTCCAGCAGATTATGAAGAATTTCTGAGTATCACGAATGGTTTTGAGCAGAGCTGGGGCGGTATAGTTTTGGACCCACCCCTTCATCCCATCAGTAACATACGATGGCTGGAAGACAATGAGGACTATTTATCAATCTCAAACTCGAGCTTCTGAAGTCCGCGCACGGCAAATAGCCAATGGTTGGGAAAGCAATCGGGATCAATAACCTCTCACTGATTCCTTGCTTGAAGATCCAAGACGTCCAATATCTGCTGGAGTCATGGAAATGGGCAATACAGGGAACATGGGGGACTTTTTAAAGCTGGGATGGTGTTTGGTTACATGGGCATCTGAGGCGTGGCATTGATGACAACCTATTGTGGTGGACATAGAGCTTGCAAAAACAGAATTTTCTGCCACCCTCTGAAAAATATTAGCAAAACACTGCAAAAATAACCAAAATATGTATTTCTAGAATCATTCAAATATCATTCAATTCATTCAAATACACATTTTTATCATCAAATCTGTCAATATGCCCCGCAACACCCACTGTTCTACTGCTTTAAAAGCTCATAAAAAAACTTCAATTACTCTATACTTTCATCTGCTGAAACTGCCTGTTCCGGATGTTTTGAATAATGATGAGAATCCAACTGATGATGAGAAAAAGAAGAAGAAGAAAACACAATTAAAAAATTTTCAATTTTTATAAACATTTATCTCTAAATCTAAAATCTCATTCAGACTGTATGAATGAGTGATTATCAATGAAATAAAGAAGTCTATAAAGATCAAATTATGAAATATCACAACAAAGGATATGACTGTCAGCTTCTATTGTATTCAATATACTGTAAAAAGAATAGCTGAAAAGTATGTTATGAAGCAGAATTGTAAAGAGATAGAAATTGAAAATTGTATAACAATCATCTCATCAAACAAATGTGAATCTTCAATCAAAATCACTCTTGGAAAGGAGACAGATTGAAGAGAGATTATCACTTTTTTAAAGAAATTATATAAAAAGAAGATGAATGGTTTTAGCATTGAAATTACTATTGTAATAGGCGCAACGGAGATATCTATATTAGGAAATAGATACGTGGCGATAGATACGTGGCGATAGCAATATTATCTATATAATGCTCGCTGATATCCGTGGATTTTAGGAGATCAGCGATTAGCTTTGAACAATAGAGATTGCTACCTTTCTAATATCCTTTGTGCGTACTTCACACTACTCTTGTAATTACTCTTGTAGCCCATCTCTTACAATTCTAATCGCTCTAAACCTTATTTGAGTGGTCCGTTGTTACGCACACCTACAACAAAACACGCAACGTTAGTTAAAACACGCAAGATGGTTTCAACACGCGCAAGATCCCTTGGGAACCAACCCGAATCCTCTACCACCTCCGACGATCACAATGCCCGATTGCAACAGTTAAACGATCAAATCCGTGAACGAGAGCAACAGTTAGCTATTCTGCACGCGCAACAACGCCTCAACGGGTTGGGGGCACAGGTTCGCGAAGATACTTTTATCGAGTCCCGACCAACCCAGGATATCGCCGCAGAACCACCGCAAAATCGACCCGCAGACAATATAGATGATGATAACGAAACACCGCCGAGATTGGAGATTAAGGATTACTATCGAGGAAAGAATATGATAGAATTTAAGGACTATAAAGATCGCATGTTGACTCTCTTTGCACGCCACCGTCGATATTATCGAAAAGAAGAACGCAAGATAAACGACGCCAAACTCTACCTTGATGCCCACGTTAAGCAGAAGTGGTTGAATTTTGTATCAGCATACGAGAGACGCGGAGGAGCAACACCGTTAACATTCGACGATATGCTATCACACCTAGAGATGCAAATTAACGACCCGCAGAATCAGCGTCGATTGGCGAGCCAAAGATTCCAGGATGCTAAGCAACAGGAGTGGCAATCGATACGCGACTTTTCTAAATATCTCGAAGATTGGGAGTATTACTTACCCCCATACAGCGAGGAACAGAGAATGGATAACCTGCGTAGTAAGGCATTGAAGGTGCTACGCACCGAGCTCGACCGTCGAAATCAAGAACCCCAGAACTACGAAGAGTTGCTTCGAACTCTACAGACTCTCAATTGTAAGAGATGGGCTACAAGAGTAATTACAAGAGTAGTGTGAAGTACGCACAAAGGATATTAGAAAGGTAGCAATCTCTATTGTTCAAAGCTAATCGCTGATCTCCTAAAATCCACGGATATCAGCGAGCATTATATAGATAATATTGCTATCGCCACGTATCTATCGCCACGTATCTATTTCCTAATATAGATATCTCCGTTGCGCCTATTACAACTATTTTTTTTAATTTTTTTGATATTTCAACTTTATTTTCAAACATCTTTGTAATACACAGTTTTGCAGCTTTCATTGAAGTGTCAGATTTTCAATTAACAATTCAGACATTGATATCAAAAAAAGCATTAAATGTCAAAAAAGAAATAATTTCATCATTTATCAAAATTCCTCTTTATCATTCTGTCAAATCCTCTCAAATTCATAAAATATTTGATGATGAAAAGCTGCTGTCTATGTATACAAGATTCACAGTCACTAATCAGCAGCTGAAAAAAATTCAAAATCAACAATCAAATAAGTATGATTTTTTACAAATTAAATGTGAGATAACTGCTCATTGATGTTGTTAAAAGATGAATTATTATAACTTTGAACAGAGTATTTATTAAATAACTTTTGATAATACTCATATTCAACTTCTGAGTAGTGAGATTGTCAGTTGAATAGACGATGTTGAATGTGAACATACGATAATTAAAAATTCTTCAAAAAAGATGATAAAAAAATTAATAAATAAAAAAAAAAAAAAAAAAAAAAAAATGAAAAAGTGAATCTATTTTTATTTTTAATTCTTTTATACAAACATTTCAGATGTTAATAATTATATTTCCTCTCTCAATTTCTTCATCTAATATTGTGTTTTTAAATGAGATAATGTAATGCACTCGTTTATTATTTCCTTATTATTATATTATCTTTGTTTATATCTTCGTCTATTCTTACCTCTTTCCATTATACTCTCGCTACCACTATTTCTGTATGTATATATATATGGATGCATGTATTTCGCACATCTTCTTTCTCTTTCTTTTCCTCTTCAGCGATTAGCTACAACTACAACTACAACTACAACTACGACAACTACAACTACAACTACAACTACAACTTCAACTATACTACTACTATAATTACTATTATCTTCCACTACACTATATACTATCTTCTACTATTCACTCTTCACACTGTCATCACCCCTCACAGTTTCTAATCGCTCAATCTTCGAGAGACGGTCCGTTGAGTAATAGTCATGGCCTCTACCCACAGCATCCGCCGTACTCGTGCTACCGCCGAACCAGAAGCAACAAACACCAGTGAAGAAAACCGCGAAACGCGCACCCCTGCCACTGAAAGTGCGCAACAAGCATCAACCTCTCCTATGGAACCAGACTCTGAGCATAGTTCAGAAGGGGACACCTCTTCTGAAGATCTGAATGCAATTGAGGCCGAGAAGATAGCTGTGACTAGGAGAATTAAGAAGTTACAGGCTGAGAAGGAATTGCGAGAACTCCAACACCGGTGCAATACTTACTGCAAGAATTGGATGAAACCATCCCAGCCACCCGAAATACACTCAAAGCGCATCCGAACCATGGTAGAGACGCAACTAGCGTGAGTTGTGACCGCGAATCAACCGCAAGCATCCTCGGACCACCGGAACCTACGCTACAAGCGCCCAACACCTTAGTGGAAAGCGCCGTGACTACTGTCAGTGGGAGACGTAGTCGGGTACCACTTTGGCAATTAGAACTTCGAGATCCCGGCATGAGCGGTCACCCTCCTCGGAGAGATGTGGAAAAGTTCCGAGGCCAAAGCATGAAAGAATTTGAAAACTTTGTTACAGCTGCTATCGCTTTCCATGCCAGTGATCTTGATTATTACAACGAACACGACCATCGGAAGGTCATCGAAGCCGTCACTCATTTCAATGTCGAGATGCAACAACGTTGGTATCAACATACACATGATATGCGGATTTTGCCACCATGGGAAGAATTTGTTAGCTGGATGCAATGTCAAGTCACCGATCCAGATAAAAGTTTCCGAGATGCAGATAGACAGTACTGGAAAACAGAGCAACAAGAAGATCAGACAGTTCAACAATTTGCTTCACATTTACAATCAATTGAAGGGCGTCTGCGGCATCCTTATAGCGAATACCATCGGAAATCACACCTCTACATGAAAGTTCTACCTTCCATTCGCCGAGAATTTGACAAATATGCAACCAAACTAGAAGAGTTAAGCTATGATGCCACTCTTCACAAACTTGCAATAGCAGAATCAAATCTGCCAGAAAGACGGAAGAAACTTAAAGAGAAGTCAAACTTCAGAAACCCTACTCAAAGCTTTAACAACAGAAATAATGCTGGTAATAAGCCACAAAACAAACGCAGATGGAATGACACTACAAAGTCCGATGACTCCACCCGATCGAAATATTGCCGTTATTGCAAGCGACCAGGACATACCGTCGATTCATGCTTCAAACGACCCAAAGATGAATCCAAGAACACTAAATCCGACTCGAAACTCAATGCGAAAGATACGAAGAACACAAAGGACTCAAAAAACGCTTAAAGCGCGCCATTCAGCTCGCAATGGCAACTATAAGCGCGGAAAGTCGATGCAAAAATGCCTTAAGTTTCAATGTCACAGTGGAAATCACTACGCCTAAGAGTCTGCAAAAAGTGCTTGCACTAGTAGACTCTGGGTCAGAAGTGAACTGTGTCGATGAATTTTGGGCAAAAGACCACAATCTAGAAGCTGCTCACCGCAAAACCAAGATGGTCAAATCGATTGATGGATGCATAATGCGCTCCTTTGGAGAGTATAACATTGCAACCACTGTCACTGATCACAAGGGTAATGCACAGCAGACATCTCATTCCTTCCATGCGATGAAAATGAAGGACTACAATCTTGTGTTAGGATTTCCTTGGTTAAAACAAACAAATCCTCTTATAGATTGGTCAGATGGACAATTCTTCTTCAGAAGCTCTGGAGATGAACAACAGCCTCAAATTATTTCTGAACAAGATGTTTTAGCTGAAGTTCTCACCGGAGCCAGAGTAGGAATGCTTGTAGTATTACCTACAGAATGTTCAAAAGACCCAAAGCATGCTCCACGCGTATTCTCGGCTTGCTATAGTCGGACTTGCCGACCGGCCTACCCGATTATGCCTCTCCTCTAACCCGCTCGCATATCTTCTCAGAAGAAGTTTCTATAGCGCGGTGGATCC